CATTCCTGCTCCAAGCTGTGCGTGCCTGCTCTTTTGGTTCCTAATAACCTGAGTAACCTGGTCAGTGTCCATGGGTGGCAACTGCCTCACCCATTCTGTCCCCTTTCTCAAAAAGACTAATAGGGAGAGAAAAGTGGGTAGAAGCAAAGAAGCCCTCAACCTTCTCCACCAAAGCCACCCCCATCTACTCCCTGAAAGTCTGCTCCTTTCCTTGTCATTCAACAAATACTTAACATCGACTACATGCCAGGCACCGAGGGTACAGAGATGAGTAAGTGCAGGGCCTGTCCTCAGGAAGCTCAGGGGTGGGAATGGGGAGGGGGAATCAAAGCAAGCCAACAATCACAATGCAGGGCGATGAGTGCTGTGATGCAGGAAGCTCAGGACACTGTAGGGATCCCAAAGGGTCAGGAGACCTCTAAGCTGAGCCCTATAGGAGGCGCAAGAGTGGCAGGACAAAGAGGGGGTGAGCCTGTCATTCCTAGACAAAAGGCAGAGAGTCTCCCAAGCAGGGGCCATATTATCCTGGAATCTGCCAGTATTTTGAAGGGATGGGGGCGATTGTTTCCCATAGTGGAGGCTGGGCTTTGTTGGAGGCTCAGGGCCCTGGGGGCTGGGGGTGAACTGGCTTTCAGCAGGGTTTGCTTCTAGGAAATTGATTCTGGCTGCAGTAAGCTTGGAGGCAGGCCCAGATTCCAGGCAGGGCTCTCTGCCTCTTACCAGCTGTGTGCCTCTGGGCAAATCATTCCCCCTTCAGAACTTCAGTGTCCTCATCTGTAAAATGCAGACAGCAGTTGTGCGTGCGGTTCAAGACAAATATTTATTCAAAGCACTTGGAACATAACTGGCCCAGAGGGAGGGAGGAAGGCTGTGAAGCTGCCCCTGCCACCTGACCTGGGTCTTTCCCCCTCCTTTCTTGTCTCCCCTGTGATCTCAGATCGTTCTTGACCATTGTTTATCAGGGAAAGATCACATGGAGAAGCTAACAAAGCAGCCAGGAAGCAGCCAGGGTGGGACAGGGTTGGGGAGGGCAGGAGCATGGGTACATTCTCAGAGCTCCAGGAGGTGCCAGGGTAGAAGGCGGGGCTGCGGGCCAGAAGAGCCACAGCGGGGGATGCGCTGCTAGTCCCTAGTTCCTTCCCCTGAGCTAAGGCCCTCAATCTCCAGAGCTGTTCCCCTGGTCCTACTGCCCTTGCCATTCCAGACTAGGGAGGGAGGGGGGGGGGGGGGGGGTGCCAGCGCTAATAAGGGTCGTGAGACTAGGGAGGGGATGTGTAAGCATGTCCGTGTTGGAGGTGCCAGGAGGTTGTCCTAACCCTAACCACCTCACCCACCACCCCATCTATGCTTTTCCAGGCCCCACAGAGCTGGCCAGCCTCTGCCCGCGTCCGCGCAGCCATGGAGGCTCTGGGGCCTGGAGGCGACTGCGCCTCGCCGGCCTCGTCCACTCGCAGCCTGGACCTGCGGCGGCTGTCCGCGCGCGCCGACTCGGCCTACAGCTCTTTCTCCGCCGCCTCCGGCGGTCCTGAACCGCGCACACCGTCGCCGGGGACCCCAAAACTTCCCTACCTGGACTGGGACTACGTGCGCGTGGTGTGGGGCGGCCCGGCCCCCACCGCCGGGCTTCGCACCTCCCCGCAGCCCCGGCCCGCGGCCGCCGCACGCAGTGGGCCTCTTCCCCCCGAGATCCGGGGGACCCCAGGGCCGCTCAGCCGCCAGACCACCCCGCTGCTGTACGCGCTGGCGGCCGAGGCGAAGGCCGCGGCGCGGGCAGCCGAGCCGCCCAGTCCGCCCGCGTCGCGGGCCGCCTACCGCCAGCGGCTGCAGGGCGCGCAGCGGCGAGTGCTCCGGGAGACGTCCTTCCAGCGCAAGGAGCTCCGCATGAGTCTGCCCGCCCGTCTGCGGCCCGCGGCCCCCGCGCGGCCCTCCGCCGCGCACCCGCGCTCTGCCTTGCTCAGCCACCCCGGCGGGGAAGCGGAGCCGGCGCGCCCCGGGGCTCCCACGCCAGGAACCGCCGGCAGGGCACGCCTCGCCAACCAGCAGCGGCAGTGGTGCTTCTCAGAGCCGGGAAAGCTGGATCGCGTGGGTCGGGGCGGTGGGTTGGCGGGGGAATGCTCGGGGGAGGCCTGCTCCAGCTCTGGCCTCGCCAGGCCGGAGCCCCGGGAATGGCAGCAGCGGACACTGGCAGAGTTCGAAGGTCACCAGATCAGATGGCTGCCTGCGACGCAGCCCCGAAGCATAGAGGACCCGAAACCCCGGTCCTTGAGGCTCAGCAATGCCTATAGGCCTGCTGGTCGGAGTCAGAGCGCTTCAGGGGAAGTCTTGTCCCCCTGGGGAAGTCCAGGAGGGGTCATGCCCATTGCCCAGGTATGGAAGATAGGGGCTGCAAGCTTGGCTTGGGGGCATCCAGAAGATTGAAAACTTGAGCAACGTTTCATCCAACTGCTTGCCTTTCCAGGCTGTTCCCCAAGGAGGAGAAACCCCCAGACCATTGTTTCAGACCAGACTTTCCAGGTGAGAGACATGGACCACTCTGGGGACTGAAAGCTGGGGGGAGGCAGCTTTCATATCTCTTGCTCAAGAAAGAAGAGGGCCTCCCACTCACCCTCAGTTTGAGCCTTCTGTCTTTTGCAAACCACATCCCCTAATCCCACCCCCAACACCCTATTGTCTCTCTGGCACAGAACCAGAATCTTCCTTCCTGGTCCCTGTTGTCAGTGTGGGGTCCCTGCTTCCAGGTTCCTGGCTCAGAAAGAAGTTGCAGTGGTGTGTTCTGCAGAGGGCCCCCAGAGCAGTCCCTCTGACTGGGAGCAGAGGGCCTCAGAGAACTGCATTGTGTCTGCCCGGCTCCCATCCCTTCCTGATGATGAAGTTTTCCTGGAAGAAGCCCCGCTGGTCAGAATGAGATCACCTGCGGACTCCCATGCTCCCCTGGGGCTCCCAAACAGGTGAATTTCCTCACGCTTTCAAGCAGAGTGAGATACCCCCTTCCTACACACATCTACAAAATGCTGGGGGGGGGGGCAGGGAACCCTCTCCTGGCTGGTGGCTGGGAGCCAGGGGGGTGAGGTGGGGGAGGTGGATGGCCCTTGGAGGCCACCATTTATCTTTGGCCAGAGCTTTTTCTGATTTAGTGTCTCTTCCACTTCCAGTGTCCATGCCTCTGACCAGCAGTATGGAGCTGGCTTGGGTCAGAGGGCTGACCAGGCTATAATCCCTTCAGAGCAGCCCCTCCATGAGCACCCAGAGACTGCAGGGGCGGATGACTGTTGGCAGGGGGTAAACGGTTCTGTGAGTGTCTCCAGGCCTACATGCTGTAGTCCCCCTGGGACTGCAAATGGTGACATTGCAACCTTTGACCCCACTGGACTGCTGACCACTGGTCCCCCCACAGCTGCAGAGACTGACCCCCTCAAACCTCTCCCAGGTGATGCCCTGAGACCTCCAGGCAATGATAGCCCGGGGCCTTCTGACCACACTGCCCTGGCTTGGGGCACTGGCCAGACTGGTTCCAGGTCAACATGGCCCAGTCCACGCCTCGAGGAGCTGGTTCAGGAGCTGGCCAGATTGGATCCCTCTCTGAGTGACACTCTCACCTCCTATCCCAGCCCAGAGCCATCCCTGGGCCTGCTGGATGGGCTGATTCCTTTAGCCGAGGTCTGGGCTGCAATGAGGCCAGCCTGTGGAGAGGCTGGAGAGGAAGCAGCTGGTACTTCTGCGTCAAGGTGAGTGAGGGGTACCAGGGGCTCAGGGGATTCTAAGCCCGTGCAGCCTGGGGCAGGACGACCCAAGGAACTCTGGTTTTGTCCCCAGCTCTTACCTACTTAACTCCACCCAGTGCCTGCCAGCTTCTCAGGAGGAGACAAGGCCTGAAAACCTTACCACCCACGCTGTGCCTGACGAGCCATGCGGCCCGGGTCTCCCCGAGCCAAATAACAGCATCCAAGCCAAGAAAGTGAGTGTGGAGGGGCTATTAGAGGCTGGGCTAAGTCAGGGCCCTGCCTCCAGACTTAAGTACCCACGCCCTCCCTGCAGGTGGAGCTGGCGGACCTCCTTCAAAAGACGCTAAGGGAGCTTCAGGCCGAGCAGGAGCAGCTGCAGGGAGCGGCGCAGGCTTGGGCCAGGCGCGGGGCTGCCCTGGAGGCCGCGGTCGTCAAGGCCTGTGCACCCCACGAGCTCGAGCGGG